TATTTAGAGGAACCCCAGAGACTAGGTGGGAACCTGGGGAATAACATAGCCTCTGTCTCTTGTCATCCTTAATCACCTGCACCCTGAGCAAGGCAGAGTCAAGGCATTTTAACCCTGAGCTGATCTCATGGTGAAAATATTGTAAAAAAAAAATAAAAAAAAGAAAAAGCTACTTCAAGAGCTGCTTCTATTGTAATGAGCTGAAAGTAGGTGTGATGAAATGTATGCTTGGGCTGTAAAACTCTTTCATTTGCATAGGCACCTTTTGTGAATATCAATGCAGGCTCTTAATGAGAATGATGCAATTATAGTCAAAAGGGGAGAGGTGCTGGGTGTTTTATCCTCATTTCTCAAGGGTCCTATTTTAGGAATTTTTTTTTCTCCCCATTTTCACTTTGACTTGTTGACTGTCATGGTGCAACTGTAGGAAAAGAGATAATTCTGAGAAACGTTGAATATGTCAAATTAGTTCAACAGAGATACTAAAACTCTGTGAATTACTTCTATTTTACATCTTTTAAAATATCATAGCCAGCAATGATTCAAACTGATTTAAAATTCTAATATTTATTCTGTATCATAAATAAATATCCAAAACGTTTGGCAAACCTTTTCTTAAGACCATCCAATGCGATCCAGTGGCCCTATTGATGCCAGTTCTCACATAATTAAAATGTGTTAAAAATATGTGAGTGTTTTTTTTCTTTCAGCATTAATTAATCTGTTCTGTGAAGCAAACATATAGCTCCGCAAAGAGCAAGAAACACGCTAGACAGGTCAGAGAGAAAGTTACAAATTTACAAGCGGGCAAAAGTCTCAAACTTTTCATAGGAGATTCTGTAATCCAGACTTCTTGTTGTTCATTCAGCATCTATTCTTCCCAGAACAGCTGCATGCATAAAGCCATTTGTGTGAGAAAAAGACGGAAGTGTCAGAGAAGTGTCAAATTAGTAGGGAGGTAGGAGGTTCATGACTACATAAAAAAAAAAACATTTAGCAGAAAAACTAAAGCTACAGATCATCCTAAAACAAATGTCCTCTGTGCAGCATGGTGGTGGCAGCATTGAGCTGTGAGACTGCCTTCCCTCTGTAAGTGAAGAGGATGCTGGTCAAGTTTATAGGAAAATCAATGGAGTCAAATACACGATAATCCTGCAATGCAACACTTGATTTTTATTTATAACACCTAGAGAAAAATATGCATTTATTTTTTCTATGTACTTATTATATGCCAATCTTACACTTTGTATTCTATTTGAACGGTTGAATCCCCTGTTATGTGTCACACAAAATGTGTATTAAAAGTTACACCACTCTTCTACTTTTTAAGGAAATGCAACCCTGATGCAGAAATGTCCACTTAGCTGATCATACAGATGTGTACGTGTCAACAGTGGTTAACGGCTTCATATTCTTTTAGCAACATGAAGGCTTTTGGTGCTTAATGATTCATTTTTAAAGAATCATCTATTTCACCTCCAGAGAACAAGGTAATATATAGTGGTGTATTTTCCTGTTCTTTTTAAACAGAGATATAAGGCAATATCCTGGGAGGTAAAGAGAAAAATTCATCTTTGTGTATTTAGGTTAGTGACATCACAAGATGTATAGAAATTCAGCTGAGCAGCCGTGGTTATATGTTATGGTGAACTGAAAAAAATTCACAGATTTCAACATAGGTTATAAAATATTTATGTTTTAAGGATCAACCTTATGTGCTTAACAAGAGATTGACCCCAATGACACTACTGCAGATGGTGAAACTAAAGCAAATAGTGACATTAAATAAAGTGGTCTGGTTGGTTTTTGTGCAATGGCTGAACAGTTGGTAGAGGAGCTGCTTTGCAGCAAGAAAGTTCTGAGTTTGAATACCTGTCTTTTTGCATGCAGTTGCTTGTTCTCCCCCATGTATTTTCTCTAAATTCACCATTGGTATTAGATTTATGAAAACTGTTAAACATCTAAACTCATTCTACTTTTCTATATTTGACTGCCAGGGGTTAATATTGCATTTCTGCTTCTTCCCTTTGCTTTGACTAGAAATATTCTGATCAAGTTAGGTTCATAACCGTTAAATGCTTGGTTGCTAAATTATGGAAAAATCATAAAATGCTTGAAAAGAGACTATATAGTTTTCATATCTTTTCTGGTCCTCATAAAGTACATTCATATGATTTGGCAGCGATGTCCTATTTTATTGAGGTCTATTAGTTTTTGTATAGGTCAAATGTCTTCTTGCAGCCATTCTGAATGAAAGTAAAAAAAAGTGGAAGAAATTGAATTTATTATTGTGAAAAAAGAGAAATCATCTAATATAAAAAGGAATGTACTGAAAAGATTTTATTTGCCTTTCGTTTTTTTCATGTCACCATTTACATTTCAGCTTGCAGGGTCATTTTTGAGAGAGTAGATTTGATCAAATAAGAGTTTCCATTAAAATATCAAAACAAAGAACTACAGACCATGGCATGTTGTTCTGTAGGTGACTAACTGAAGTAGATTTAAATGATTTTTTTGCAAAGACTAGAAAGTCTAGTAAGTTGCAAAGTAAAAATATATATTTTTTCAGAATTGTTGGCTCTAGCTTTAATGTAGTCACAGAAAAAGACAAATCATATGGACAAAATACATAAAAAGACATTGCCAAGAAAGCCTTTTAGTTTGATTGTGAGCTGAAACACCACTGGCCTTCTGTAACAACCAATAACTTTATTATTATATTATTATTATATATATATATATATATTTGTAATCTTTATATCCTTGACCTGTTGATACGTGCGTCTAAAAGATATTTAACATCTGTAATATACAGTATGTGAGATAAAAGAATCATGTAGCTGCCCACTCCTGTATATTTTCCACTCTCCTGACAACATTGTGCAATAAGTTACAGGAAATTAACTCTTCCAATCTCTTTGCTAACATCATATCCCGGAACAGAAGCAGTCACTGTTGATATGACACTGTGCTTCTGTTTAGTGCTAATACCACCTGTGTAACTCTGTTACTATTGACCTGTATGCACCTGCCTCTGAATGCTGTCCAGCATCTAGATCATCATTGAAATTACAGGTGGATTACTCCTCTCAGCCTCTTTTTACCCTGGTTATTGTGTGTGCCACTTGTGCCATATGCTTCTTGTAACAGCGTGAGATAAGATACAGAGAACAACAACTCTCTAATAAACCTCACAGGCCATGCCTTTGAGTGCAATACAACATGCTGACAGTTAGAGGTGCTGTTTTTCACACTGTAGTGACCACATTAACAGGCAACACACAGCCACTGGTTTTTAAAAGCACTTACTGGCCTTGAGCCCATGTATCATAGTAGAGGGCTTAACATTATGCCCTTTGAAAGCTGTGGGAGTTTTTTATTCTTTTTTTTTTTTTGTGAAAATGGACCATCTTCACTTTGCTTTGTCTTTCTTCCAAATCTGATTCAAATTGTTTCCATTCTCATCTGTTTATTTCTTTAAAAATGGTTCTTCTGCCTAAGTGTCATCTTAAAGTGATATTTCACCTTCCTACGTCCTCTCTGCCTCACTGAGTGCCCTCCAAAGCTAATTTCTTTTTTACAAAGAAGTTGTTTTCTGGGGAAAACCTATTATTTGGATCTGTCTTCCTCCCTCTTACCAAAGCATTCTTTTTTAACATTGTTGTTTTATATTTTCCTGTGAGGATTTAAATATGTTTCTATGCAGGAAAGCCATAGTTTTAAAAACTGAAAGCTTTTTTACCTCCTTGGCTACAAACAAAGACACAGGGTATTAAACATCTCTTCCTAAAGAGTGTCAGCTTACTATTATACCTTTGTACGACCAGGTAAAGCTGCTTTTGAGACAGGGGAATATATGGATGATGGGTTGGGAGAGAAACAATTGAGTTTTCTCAGCTGTCAAACTGTCTAATGTCTACAGAGCAGGGCTGATGATTTAAAAGATTTACATGTCAGTTTCTAAGACAGTGAAAATCTCAGGATTTTACTTCTTTATTAAATATAGATCTTATGGTGTTTTAGTTTCCTGGAAGCACTGGGAGCTCCACTCACCATGTTAAATGGTTCTTCCATAGTGCATTTAGTAATAATAGTATTGCTCTTGAAACATGACTCAAATATAGAAGAAAATAGCGGCCAGGTTTGGCACAAAATGGTCAAGCTCGAATTCATTCTAATAATCGGCCAAAATTGGGGTTTTCTTTCAGATTTTCTGCGTTTTCTTTGGTAAATCTTAGTAAAATAAAACAGATATTATACTCATTTTTGTAAGAGCTTTTTTTCATTAACTGAACCCCCCTATTCCCGTCCCTTTAATTTTGTCCATCACTACTCTGCATACAAAGGAGTTGTTCCATTGAGTCATTTTGTGCTGTGGGAAATAGAGATTTCATCCAGCTCTTTATTAGTCATGTTATTTTCTTTTAATTTGAAGAAAGCATTCATCTCCAATTGCGTATCTTTATGGTAATCTAGTTTCTTCACTCTCCATTTTACTCAACGGGAATAATAATACAGTTTTTTTTTATCTTTTTGTACCACATATGTTTCTGTACTATTTTACTATAATCGAGGGTGCTGTAAAGACATAGGGTTTCATTTCCTTTTAATGCACTGAGATGCTGATGCAAACATTTCAAGAGTTCTTCTTCTTTTAAAAATGTGTATTTACATTAATGTTATTTTGCAAACTATCCTTACAAGATGAAAAATAAAACAAAAACTTTACTTCACTTTAAATAAATAGGGTCTTCCATTACTGCAGCTGCTGTAGGCCACACGTGCTGTCCATGGTGCTGAACCTGCAGGAACTTGGCAAACAACTCTGGATTGCTAATTGCTGACATGTTTTATAAAACAGTGTACCATTACTTTTTGTTTTAAGTATTTTAGCTCATTTAAGATTACACAGAATTTAAATATTTATTTTCCCCCCTAATCATTACATATTCAGAATTTCTATCTTCAATTCTCCTGAAATACCTTTTCCTGCTCTTTAGCTTCTATTGTCGCCCAGAAGTGGTGGTGTCACATGCAGCCCTGTATGGATGGAGAGGAGTGCAAAGTCCTACCTGACCTGACTGGTTGGTCATGCAGCACTGGCAACAAAGTAAAAACCACCAAGGTAAGAAAAAAACATAAGACCATGTGTAAGAATTGGTTTGGTTATGCCATGAATAACTATTAATTAATGCATAGTTCAGATATTAAAACAGTTATTCCCCTCAATCAAAACTATCAAGTTGGGTGAAGTACTTAATTAAGAAATAACAGAAAACAGCTCTTAGTCTCTGTCAGTTATTGTTTTATGAATACCTCCCTATAGAGGTCTGCTACTATAGAACAATGAATGACGGGCTGGACTTCAGCACTAAATATGTCTACCAAAGAAACACAAACAACTCTTCAAAAGAAGATAATTGATCGACAATTTTTTTTATTTCCAGTTAAAATATATAAGTCAAAAAACTCTTTAAGCCTTTTAAATTTTACTTACCGGTAATTAAAATAAAGGCATAAGAAATCTAATAAATTGTAGGAACAACGTTAAAGAGGATTAAATAAGAACAAAATACAACCATTATTCAATAAATGGTGCTGTGATATCAAAGTTTAGTATGGATATGTATGTTTAAGAACCAAGGTTTATTTTCAGGAATTTGTAATGAGGCCAAATAAACTCTGAGAGCTAAAAGATAACAGCTGCAAGGAAATAATACAAGCCATTTACAATATAAAGTAGAAGGAGAAATTTAACACTATTCTAATAAAATAACGTTTCAAATATATTTCATAATATTTTAGACAATTAATAGTTAATTTTGTGTTAAACAGAACTTATTATATTTTTTGCATTAATGGACTACTAAGAAGGCAGCAAAAAAAAAAAAAAAAAAACTAATATGAAGAATGAAGGACAGGTATGATTAAAATCCATGAAATTAGTCTCAGTTTTAAAGTACAACAAGAAACATATTTAGTAACATCAGGCATCAGTGGACTGTGAACACTGAAGGAATTAAAGTAATTGTGGAGGATTTTCGCAAATTTTTTAAAACACCCTTTAAAAGATCCGCCCTCTCCACTTCTTATCACCAGATTGATTGACAATTTGGAGGACCACCTATTTAGATGATCCACCTGAAAATAAAAGATTGTCCTCTATACCTTTAAGCAACACAAAGTGAAACGCAACAAAAAGACAATAAAAACAAACAGTGTTTAGATTATTTTATAATTTTTTTTGTCCAGACTTACCCTCTAAATGTTAACTATATTGATAAAGAGTAGAGCAAGTTATGGTCTGATAACCAGAGGGGAAGGAGAAATTGCTCTCAGTCTATAGTGGCTGGGGAGACAATCTGGTTGGATTGCTAAAAGTGTCAGACATGTAGAGATAAAGCCTCAAATGCTTCAGGGCACTTAATGGAAAACTACTTTGTGATTAAAAACAACCCAAATTTTCTTGAAGAATCTTTGGCTTAGATTCATTTCTGCAGGAGCTCTGACAGTTTGTTTCAGGTAGCTATCTCATGCCCAGACAGACTCTCTGTGCACGGTTCCATTCGAGTTTTTCATACATGACTAGGCCCACCAACTTAAAGCCATTGCCAAAAGTTGTGAAACAATATTTACTGCTTTTGCAATTTGAATGGTTCTGGTTGGCTTTGAATATTGATTATATAAAATGGAAAATAATAAAATGTAAATAAAATAAAATGTACCCCCTAATCTTTTTGGAATTGATAATAAATTTATGATTGTTTCTTCAAGGTAAAATAATTTCAGCCCTCTTTAAAATAGAGAGTTTACTTTAAAAGGGGATTTTCCTTCATTTACTAACTGTGGTGACCTGCATAAAAACCTTTGGTTTCATTATCACACACTGCAGTACAACTACAAAGAAAAGGAGACCACTGCTACCATCTTTACACCCTGATTAAACTTTTATAAAAGGATCTTTAAGGGAAAAAGTTAGGCAGTTGTGTAGAAAACTCTGGGGCACCCAAGTGACACTGTTGTATTTAAAAAGAACTTAACAAAAAGATCGGGTTGATATTGTTGCAGAGCATGCAGAAACTGTGGGAGAATTCCTGTGTTAATAAAAGCACAGCCCTTAGGACACCTATCTGATGGCAGAAGTGCAACAAAGAAGCCACTCCTCTCCAGGAAAATGATAAAAGCCACATCAACACCCTGCAGGAAGTACCAGGATTAACCTGTAGAGCAGTGGCTCCAAACCTTTTTAAACTTGAGTACCATCTTGGCCATTTTTTCTTTTTCATGAGTAAGTCAGTTCCCAACCAATCAGTCAAACGTGATAATGAGTTACCAAAAGTAGAATAAAAAAACATCTGATTATATAAATGAAAAATATTTATTAAATTTGCTTAACTTCAACATTTCATTTTTAGAGATTTTCTTCTTTTCAATAAAATCAAACAATAACATAAATATGTTTCCCGGAAATCAAATAGGAACTGAAATAAACAGATAATACAAATCTACCTTTTTTTTTTAACAAGAACTGGAACTCCTCTGAAGAAGTAGCTTTATACCATTTGAGTGAGGCATTTTTTATTTAGTCACATGCAGGCATACAGTATGAGAAGCCTCCAATTGTAGCTTTTTTCATTACTGTATGTTCTGACTTCAATTCAGACAGCTTTCATTTGTAAAAAGTCTCTATTTTACCAGGTCTTTTACCAGCAGGTTTTGGTGTTCTGGTGCCACCATAAATGGGCTAGCTTCCCTGCAAAAGACACACTGGGGCTTCAGCGGGTTTGCAGAAGTAGAAGTGAATCCATAAAGAATAATCTTTCCTCTGCAACCAAAGTTTAGATTTTGTCTATTTTTTCTTTTCTTGAACACCAACGAATTATCTCCTGAATCCCAAGCAGCATGACGTTTTAGCCATTTATTCATGACTGCAGCTGCTTTGGTGCATTCTTCTTTTATGACCTTTGTTTGCGCACCTGTCTTCCTGCTTATGCTTGCAGAGTAGAGTAGTGGGTCCAGTTTGACAAGCAGGTTTTTTGAAAACTCAAAGTTTTCAAACTCTTATTAAGTCTTGAACATTTTAAATCTTTTAAATCTGAAATCAGGGAAACTTCAACTAGATTGTCTTCAATAAAATCAGTGTCCTCTGTCTCTGCCCTCTTTTTCTTTTTCTTTCCGGATTTAATCTGCAGAGTTCTGTTATAGTTTTGTGTGAACAATAAGAGAAACTATTTACATAGGTGGGTTGTTAAAAACACAATATTAGCACTTTGTTTTGACGAGGATCCAATTAAAACATGAGTGGCATTAATCACAGAGAATTTAATATAGACAGAGTTCTTGCACCGTGTATAGATGCCCTTTATATTAAGAAAGTTCTTTATGAGTGCTACCATTTCACCTCACCATCCATCACATATTTCCGTGACTTTATCCGTCCTCACATTAGCAACATTGACTAACAGGTATTAACTTGATAACTTGATATCGGTGAGAGCACATTGATGTGTGATAACAGCATTATAATGTGTAGAAATAAATTTCAGATCTCCATATTGCTACTCTCACCGGTTATTATTTGTATTATTTTGATGAGACAGAAAGGCATTTTACATATCATAAAAACATACAAGTGGCTGTTTTGATAATGAAAATGTGTAAATATTTCTAGATACATGGAATGTAATTCTTGCTAGTACAATTTTGAATGGTAAATGGCCTGAATTTATATAGAGCTTTTACAAGCCAGGAGACTTGGCCGACCAAAGCGCTTTGCACTACATTCAGGCGTTCACTCACACACTGATGGTGGCAAGCTATTATTTAGCCACAGCTGCTCTGGGGCTCACTGACAGAAGCGAGGCTGTGGTACACTGGTGCCACTGGGCCCTCTGACCACCCTAAGAAGGCAATGATGGTGAAGTGTCTTGCCCAAGATCACAGCGACACTGACAACCCTCCGTTTGGGTTGCAGGGCAACCTCCTGCATTCAACTTCACTGTCGGATTTTTGTTTTTTTCACTTTCTGGAATTAAACTCATCAAGGAATATAATTTTGTCTAGAAAGAATCCTATTTTAATTATCTACAAATTGAACAAGATAACAGTGCTTTTTAAATATGCTAAAACTGCTTGCCATTACAGACTTTGTATAAACTCAAGCAGCAATCTCCTCTAAGCCATGTGCAGGACCAACCATTGCTCTTGACGCTCATTTTAGATAATTGCTGACAGCTGCAGATTGAGAATGCCCAATAAGAGTTGTAGCTCTGGAAAAGCCCTGACCCAATCATTTGTCCATCACGATTTGGGTTCCTGTCAAACTTTCAACAACATATTGCCTGCCCATCTTTCTTTCTTCTAAAATATTAACAATGAGCATTTAATGTACACTTGTTTTCTTATATTTAACACAAACTCACAGGTTCCATGTTGAACAGTGATATTTATTTAGCTGTTTGTAGCTTAGAGGTTACACTTGGTCTGTGTACTTGGTGTGTACACTACATGAACATACTGACACACTGTTAGCATGCTCTAATGTTCTGCTCATCAAACTTGGAATAAACACACATGAACAAATACAAAAATATTATAAAAGGATCTAACTGTTTTCATATGAAACAGAAACGTGATTTTTATTAGCTGGTTAATTAGTCAGGCTATCTACTGAGGGAGTCAGTGTGCAGACAGTTACTTACGATACCAACAACCACAACCTTTATCAGTGTCCAACTGGAACTGATCGACTGCCCCGTCAACCTCCAAGCCTTCACTAACCTTTAATGCAGATCAAACTAACATTGAGCTTTAATTCAGTCCATTTATTCATTTAAATCCAATTATCTTATCAGGGGAAATACATCTTTAGCTTCATTTCCCCTTCAGTGTTCTCACTTAAAAAGGCAGCAGTGAAACTGGTCTCACAAAGGAGGGAAGAATATTCTAGATATAATATAAACAAATGTTTGACTTGTCACAGCCATAATTTAATCAGCCTTTTAAAAAAAGTTAATAAACTACAAAGACGATACAGAGAATAACATAATGCTCATCCCTTAGTGAGCATTATGTTATATTATAACTCTAAGTGTAATTCATTCAACCCATATATAATGCAGAGTAAACAAATCCCATTCATATGAGGTAAATTAATATAAATAAGAGTCCTTCATGGCCCTTTGTAAGTAGTTGAAGTGTGAAAGTTAATTTGAAGCTGTAGTAGATGTGTGTGCATGTATGTGTGTTGTGGGACTGAGTAAGGGCTTTATTTAAAGGTAAAATATAAAAAGAGAAACAGTTGGAGGGAAAAGGCGGCACAGGCACTGAGAGTGTAATTGCTCAAGAGATGGCACCGCAGCCCAACATCTGTCCTATTCATTAGAATGCATTATGGCAGGAGCCTTTCATAGAGGCTGTACAATTAAGAGTCATAATTAAATTGGTGAGCAGGGTAGACTGAGAAACCAACGCTCTTCTGAGCTCAGTCATTGGCAGCTCAATTAATGAGCATGAGTCTAACACCAACTCTGGGAGTGATAGGTGCAATTATCCTCATCCTGTTGCATGTTGCCTTTTCATTTTATCCCTATTTTTTTCCCTCTGATTTGTACGCTGTAGCCCGACTAGCTGGTCAGCTGACTGCAATAATTGTGCATTTGTAAAAAGCTTTGGGACCAGGGAGCAGTTACTTGGAGACTTAGTAGCAGATGTCAAGGAAAATAGTTACAACAACACATTGCTTCCCTGGCAACTGTTCATGCAGTCACACTGTGGTTTTCCTCTTTACATGGCTATTCATTTTCTACCCGTGACCCCTTTCCAGCACCTCAACATCTTATTTGATGATCTGTATCTGTCCATCTCCGTTTCGCTCCCACACAGCGTTGGTGTGCTGCAGAAAGATTCATAGGCTGCCTCACAAGGGCAGTATTGTATGGTTCAACAAGAAAGACCAAAGTTGGTTCTCACATATAATGTTGCCTACATCGAATATTACAGTCCAACTTTTATAGCATTTTCGGGATTGGAAAATGAGAACCAGAGTTCCTAATTCATCAGCGTGTCAGTTAATTTTAAATGCACAAGGGATTAGATTTGGAGAGGAAAAGGTCTTTACGTCTCCAAATATATGGCTCCAGCCTACTGCCTGACTGCAAATAAGCCATTACAACTCCAAAACATGGAGAATTTAGCTTTAGTCAGAAGGATGTTTCAGCAGATTCAGAGATAAAAATTCGAAAGTCGAAAATCCTGCAAGGACCTCTGATCCTCTCACTCAAAAAGATGCATTGTCCTCTCAGTAAAGAGTGTGAAGATATATATCATCATACAACAACCCACAAAAGTATTCATACCCTTTAAACCATATCAGCTTTAGTCATATAACAAACATTACTTCAAAAGTTTTAATTAGGATTTTATGTAATTGACCAATACAAAGCAGTGTTTTGTAGGAATGCGAAAAAATCCCAAACTACATACACATATAAAGGTTTTGAAGCTTTAGTCTGTATATATTCAGCCCACTTTTCCTCTGATAATATTGGTTAAAATCAAACCAACAACCTTAAGAATTCATATAACAAAACAGGATAAGCTCCCTCCAACTTTTCTGAACACCTTTTAGCACTACACAGCAGAGTGCATCTTGACCTATGGGTGAGTTGTGTGTTTTTCCAGGCACACTTTATTTAAGACGAAAAAAACTATAGAGGGCCATTAAGAATGACAAGTGGATCATTGGCTTAGAGGAGATCTACCCAAATCTCTTTCAAAAAGATCCAGGATGACCCTGCCCACGCCAGACAGTCCCTTATTGACGGCCTTCCCTCGGGCTGACTGGAACTAATCCTGAGAGTCCACACCACCAGACTTGAATAAACAACATATTGTTGTATCGTAAATGACCGAAATCCTGGACCTAAATATCATTGGGAACCTGTGTGATGAAAATAGACTTAATTATTTAGCATATTATGTGCACTTTTTTTTTTTTTTTTAAGTGGAGAGGGCGGGTCTTTTCAAAAATTGGGGAAAATCCTCCACTAAACCTATGGCTAAGGTTTGTGTTTGAAATGTGAAAACATGAAAAAAGGTTCAGGAAGTATTCATATTTTTCCATTTCCTTGTTGGTTTATATTACACAAACTCTTGCTCTCTCTTTCTCTGTGTCTCTTCTTTTTTTTTTTAGGTTACACGATAGCGAGAGAGCCACTGAGGCAAAGAGAAACCTGAAGCGCTTAATGTGGAGACAGCGGATGACTCACACATATTCACAGCCTGATGGGGAATATCGAGGAAAGGACTACTGTCGGGATATCTGTCACAAAACAAATGGATAAAAAGTTCTCATCAAAACAATGTGGATCCAGAAAATTTACCAAACTGCATATTGAAGCTAAAAGACTGCAGTCAGGGTCACTCAAGTGTGACAGTTATTCTGTACCATGGACAATGTGGAATGTTACACATTGGTTGATCTCTAACACCAATGTAGCATTTGAAACTCTACTTCAGCAAAGCATTTTGGGCTCCTGTGTGGGAAGAGAAGTCAAGGATTTACTGACAAAGTTGTCAAACTCTTAAAACTTCTTCTGGAAACAGCGGAAACAATGAAAGACATAAAAGCTCATAGCAAATTAGCTGCAGAATGCTCTTGTGGGTCATGTCACCACCGCTTGCACGGTTTTGCAGGATTCATTTTGCAGGTCTAATTAGGGGAATTGCAGTAGAATCATAACAAAATATTAAAAATTCATGTAGGATATTTGCAGCTGTCGAAAAACCGTTTGGGGATGTTTTATTGCTCAGTACATGGCACATCTTTTGTTGTGGATCCCAAATGAAACTGAAGGTGAGCATTTTAATAAACTGAGAATTGCAGTACTGTAGATAAATATGCATATCGTAAACCATCAACTGATCAAGTTTTTTGTGAAAAATAGCTCAAAATCAAGCAGCTTTACTTACTTGAACCCTCGCAAAATATGAACTAGAAAACTGTGTCTTATTTATAAGTTGATTTTTATTTTGCCTGCAGACATTGATTATCTCATCCTTCAGAGTTTTGATTCCTTACTTCCTATTTTAATTCTGTTTTTAAGGATGCTCATAAACGTTTAAACAAAGAGAAGGTTTTGTTTTTATGGTATTCTTACGACTAATGAATCATCTTTTTCTAGTTACACTGCCTTGTGAACGCCTTGAACATTGTTACTTTTTGTCACACTTAAACCTCAAGCTTTTGTTTATGTTTGTTTGATTGTATGTAATATTCCAACACAAAATACTTTGGAATACTTCAGAAAAAAGTATGACATTCATTCAAGTCAATTTGCAAGTCAAAATGTAAAAGGTGTGGCAGACAGCTGTATGTTAATCCCCTGAATCAATGCATTTTACCACCAGCTTTCACTTGTTTTAAAGCTGTAAAATATTTTTTTTTCCCCCCATACGTCACATATACAAATATTTTTTTTATGAGCTGGCAGGGATTCTCAAATAGAGTTAGCTCTGGACTTTGACTGGGGCCTTCTAACATATCAATATCTTATAAACTAGAATGATCTGGCTGTATGTTTAAGGTTATTTTGTTCATGATACATGAGAATATGCTTTCTTCCACATCGGCCTCTAACTCCAGCTAATCCTCGAACTACTATACACTTCTATATCTCTGCTGAGGACGGGCCTCTCCACAGTATCATGATGTGCCTGCCATGTTTTATTATGGGGATGGTATGTTTGCTGCAGTGTGAAGTGTCAGTTTTCCATATAACATGAGGTTATGCATGTGTGCAAAAAAGGACCATTGTTGGTCTTTTCTGACCACTCCTTTTCAAACAGATACATCTTTTTATTCTCTGAGGTGTCAGTCATGTCCTCTTTATTATACTTTTTATGTTAAACTTAAGCAGCACTGATCTTCATGTCACGATAAAGACCAGATTTAGGAATTGCACAACTGATAAATGTTATATCAATAAATCATTCTATTTGAGCTTAGGATCTAAGCAGCTCCTCCAGAGATAACAATTTTAAACTTCTCCGCAGCTTTCTCCCTGACATTTTTACGTAGTTCCTTGGTGTTTATTTCGTTTTTTATTCACAAATGAATTCACAGAACAACTGGATTTAAAACACCATCAAACATCAAACACTTTCAGATTTTTGTCTACTGAAAAACTTGATACCAATATATCAATTTCACCCTACTTTATCCATCACACAAAATGATTATAGTATAAAATCAAGTAAAACAATTGTAATAAAAAGCAAAAAAAAAAAAAAAGAGTTACAGTATAGGGTTTTTAATTATTTTGCAGGGCACCATATGTTTTCATTTACTCTCCTCAGTCTGTGTCATTCGTTTTTAACAAAGCCCACAACATCTTAAATAACGATGATGATCTATCTATAGTTTGTTCTACAGTTTGAGAAAAAATTCAAACTTTTTAAATTTGGAAGGATTTTGTTGCTTTTGATTCATCAGCATTTCCAATTGATTGAACCCCCAACCATCATACTATTCTGTCCTCTCTGTCCGTCTCTGTCCCTCTGTGATGCTCCTCTCGTCTGAGACACTTGCACAGTGATAGCTCTGTTAAAAAAATGTTGTTCCATAAACTCTATCAGTTTTCTTGTTTAAGCAAAGATGTTGTTTTTTTTTTTTGGTGTCATGCTTTTTTAAATTACGTTTTCTCTCCTGAACATCCATCCAAATCTTTTTCTCACGGTATGAAGTATGCCTCTCTGATATGTGAATGTGTTAGGTCAGCATGCCCAAGGTTAGCCTTCTGGGTCCAGCTCCTCTGTGGCTAAGAGCCTCCGCTTTTCAGACACGCTGCCTTATGAGCTATGATAAATGTTTGGGAGCCGAGCCGCTGACTCTCCAGCCTCAGTGCTGAGCTCTGAGGCAGAGGGAGTCCGGGGACGGCAGGACTAGCAGTGGCAGGCGGTTCTACTCGCTCATTACTGAGAGGCCTGGATAGCGCTGGTCATCTCCTGGGAACACTGACATAGAGTATTTTTAGGCTTATGGTGCAGTGTTGCTGTTAGGCCAGTCACACCACACTGCCCTCTTTCTTTGAGCACTGTCTTAGCAACAATACTCTTTTTTTCAGAACGGGATTCTGCAGTAGCATTCAGATACAGGTAAAAAAAAATGCATTATATATATATAAAAAGTAAAACAACAACTTTGCTCACCTACTTAAAAAAAACAACAGGTCCATCTCAGTATATTAAAATGTGATATTTGTCTACTTATTCACTTTACAAAGTGAACCCCATTTATTCATTGCACATTTGCAATTTTTTCTTTACAATTAGATTCTGTTGACTTTTTAGAGTTTTATGTAATACTTAATAAAAATGCAAAATTCAGATTCACAGAAAAGTGGACTATCTCATAAGACCAATACATTTGTATTCATAGCAGAAATGTTGGCAAACTGAAAACTACTCATGTAGATGTAAATACTAGATTGGGACTTCTTGTCTAGAGATGAGAATCAGATCCATTAATTTTGGGTCCATGGTTCTCACAGGAACAAGGTGGCTTGTCCCCTTCAGGTTGGAGGAGAGTTCCTTCCTCGAGTCTGGGAGTTCAAGTATCTTGGGGTCCTGTTTACGAGTGGGGGGAGAATGGAGTAGGAGATCGATAGATGGATCAATGCAGCTGCAACTATAATGCAGACGCTGCATTGTTCAGTTGTGGTAAAGAGAGCTGAGCGAAAAGGCAAAGCTCTTGAGTTACTATTCAGTCTATGTTCTTACCCTCCCCTATGGTCATGAAAACTGGACCATGACTGAAAGAATGAGATTGCGGGTACAAGCAGCCCAAATCAGCTTTCTCTGCAGCATGACTGGGCAATGCCTTGGTGATGGGGTGGGGTGCTTGGTCATTAGAGAGAAGCTTAGAGCAGAGTCGCTTCTCCTCTGCATTGAGAGGATTCAGCCAAGGTTTCTCAGAGATCTCTTTCAGATGTCCCCTGGATTCTTTCGTGGGAGGTGTTCCAGACACTTATTGGGGGGAGGCCCAGGGCATGAGCCAGGGAACGCTGGAGAGACTATGTCTCCCGGCCTTCCCCCAGCAGAGCTGGAGGTGGTGTCAAGGTAGAGGGAAGTCTGGGAGTCTTTGCTGAGACTGCTGCCCCCGTGACCCAGTCCTGGATAAAGCAGAAGACAACAACTTGATTGGTGCTCTTTTTCTAATACTACTAATTACTATATAGATATATCATGAGAAGTGTATGATCAGCCTGTGGCTGTGCTGAGGTATTAAAGAAGTGCAGGTTACTTTAAATATGGCCCTAAGCTCATCTGCATTGTTGGGTTAAGTGTCTCTCATAGACCTCTGCAGCTAAGAGAGCCAGTTGCTAAGAGCTAAGATCATCTCAAAGTATTTCCTGTGCCACTTTTTTAACCATAGTTTTCCCTCCACTAAACCTATGAAATTGCTTGGATAAAGCCTTCTGTGAATCGCTTGCTGCTTTCACCAGCTTATGTGGTTTGCACACCTATTGAAGGGTATAAATGACTACTGTGAAGTCCATAGACTGTGTTGACCACAAAATTACTAGAACACAACATTTCTGTATTAGAATATTGCTCTCACTGAACTAACTAGATATTTATATTTTCTGCTGAGCTTTGGGTTTTCATTGTCTGCATCTTTATAAGCCTTGTTGTCCAAATTTACAGAAATAAACCATGGAAATATATCATTCTTTGTTTTAAGGTATTTTATGAGTTTTCTTTTTTTAAATCAGTTATTGTCATACATGATCTTTTTGATTTATTTTGTTTTATTTAACAAGATAGACCTTTAAGCCACACCAAAAGATAAACTCAACAACCTGAATAAACGATTTGCTGTTTTATTTTTTAGATATATTAAAACCATATTGTCTGGCCTACACAAATCTTCATGGACATCCCTCTTCCAAACCTTTAATTTTAGTTCTATAGATGAGCCAGGTGCCTCACTTCTTCTTTTTGCCTTTGACTCTGCAGCAGAATCAATATTTGAGGACAGTTTTGCACAGCTCTGCTCCCTGGTGCATAAGGTGTGGGCTGAAGCTTGATCTTTGGTTTCAACTGGGTTTAAAAAGACATATGCCAGACATGGATTCATATCTTTTTTTAGGTCTTCATTTTCAAGCAAAAGCACACAATGCATTTGGTTCCAACCAAACGTGGTGGCTGGCGATCTGCAGAGCAGATACACACTCTTCCACCGTTTCCAATTTATGAAGACAGAATCAGCTGAGCTTTCAATACATTTAGATATTCATGTTATTGTGTCTATATTCAATGAGATGGCACATACTGTGCAAATTTATTCGACACCCATAAATATCCAACCATTTGTATTTTGCCCATGTCTTGTATGGAGATAATTTCTTGTCAAACTTCAGACATCTACAGGTTTATTCTTTTATTTTGGAGGCCCGCTTAAACTTTTTCAGATCTTAAAACATCAATGATCTTTCTAATGTTTTGTAATGCTCACCTTTTGTGTAAAGTGGCACCGCAAGATCATCAGAACTATTTTAATGTACAAGATCTACTTTTAGTGATATTTAAATAACTCTAACTGGGGCAGAGAAAGTCATAAATTTCCCTGTAAAGCATATTACCTAGTCTTACCTTTAGAGCCAATGTCTTATAAAACATGTCAGTATGGTGTACAGGAAACAGGTGGACAATTTGGTAATTGCAAATTGAACAACACAAAGACAAAACAAACAGACAAACACAAAGACTGGAGTCCTGACAATTACATCAATTTGTTTGAAAGGAATGGTGATAATCTAGAACTCAGGCACCATCAGGTCTGATTCTTTGACACAATTTTAATCCAAAACTAAGTGTTAGAATGGCTTTAAGTGGGATAAATGTATGTTACCTAGATTAATAGAAACTAAAACTCAACAACGAAATATCAGTTTCACATTTAGTGAAAGGTTTTAGCAGCCCATCGTCTTTGGGTTAGTGGTGCAGAATAGGTTTGACATGGCTTTGAAGACATGCTGCATATACAGAAAGATTTATTACAAGCATCACCTTGAAACCGTATGACATAAATGTATTCAAACCTTTTTTTTTCAAATAGTCCAATGATAACAGCAATATACAAAGTATTTTATTTTAGTTTCATATGATATAAAATCATATAGTTCATAAAATTATCTACCATTTTCAAAAAAATTTTCACATCTTTTTCTACAGAAAGAAATTTGGAATGTGAGGCTTCTTATATTATCAGCACCTTTTCTTCTGGGCAAACTTTGCACATCCAAAAGCCTGGAATCGTTTGCTAGTTCTCTTTACAAAAAACCCTGAAATCTGTCAGAGCAATATGTAGATAGAATGAAAGAACATTGGTTTTTAAGACTACTGCATAACTACATATACTATTTTTCTATAGATCTAGCTTCTGATATGTTAAGGCTTTTTCTTTTACTAAAAGGTGAAATTTTCCTATGTCTTCTGTTTTTCTTTGCAGCCTCCAACAGTTTCATTTGTTTTCTTTCTTTTCTTTTTTTTTTTTAGAATTTTATTGGATTTAGCACCATCCATTTCCCCATTTGACTCTGATTCTATGTTCCTTCTGATCAAAAGCACAAATAGTATACGGTAATGCTGTGACCAAACTTTTCTGAAACAGATAGCATTTTTATTGGATCCTTCTAGGTCTCCTTAAAATGTTTTTAACTAATGTTTAATAAAAAATAAAGACACAAAAAAACAAATAAAAAAACTGTGAGGCCTTTTAAGAACTGCTGTAAATACACCTTTAAGAGCCATGACAGAATTTCTAATTATACTGCCACCTGTGGCCAAAACAGAACTTCAGCATTCTGTTACTCATTCTTGTAGTGTGCTCATACATGACAAGGTTTTTCTTTACTTTTTTTCTTTTTTTAAATATTTTACATGTTGCCATTAATGTCTGGGTTAAGCTTGATGCCAATAGTTTCTGAGTTTCCCCAAATCTGTCATGAATATGATGCATCGATTGCTTGCAAGACTGGACCCATTCAACATGGACCGGCTTCATGTCAGATCCACAGAACGAACACGGGAACTTCCGACCAGAAGGACATTCATGGAGAAAAGGCTACAAGCTTATAGATGCATTGGCACTGAATTACTGAGGTGTCAATCTGCTCATTACCATTTTTTTTAGGTTTTAAAGAATCAAATAAAAAAGGCTATTTTAAAGATATTTTTATGTAAAAACTTAC